GCTTCACCTCACTCATTACACACACTTATTCTCAATCTGTTGTCAAGAGACTTGGCATTTAAGCAGCACTTGTTGCCAGTTTGTCATTAAAGACTGTTTTCTGCCAAACCACCTCAAGCTTCACTCCATGCCAGACCACATCCTGGCAAACTTTGCCAAGCACTCTTACTCTGCTGCCCAGCTCATGCTTCCGTAAACTTGAGTATTCAGTGCTTTGTAAAGTCTGCCATGGCCACCGTGTTCCTGCCGAGTTCTAGTTTTTGGTTCCTCTGGGTTCGCTCTCCCTAAAATTGTGACCCTCACATTTTATGCTGTGATACGGATTTAGGATTTACTATACAGGCTGTTTTTCTATTTGCAGAGTTCAGTTTCCAGATTTGCTGCACATTCACAAATGTACATCTTATCTAATTTTGCAATAACTTTTGTTTTGACCACAAACTGAAACAACTTGTAAACATTATTTACGACTATGAGCAGTGATACAGACAAACAGTGACAGGCACTTAAAAAAACATCTATATAAAATCTGTTTTGGATAACTAATTAATCCAGTTGATGAAACAACATCTGCTCCTCATGCATCATTTTAGCAGCCCAAATGTTTTATAATATCTTGGTGTCTATGTGTGGAAAGTTTATATATTGTTTTGAATATAGATATAAGATAAGACAGGATAGCTGGTTTTATTATGCTGTTATTTATAATTAAAGCTGGTATTTTTGGCTACATGCTAACCAAAGACAGTTGGTTGTGAAAGTGCACAAGATCATATTTATAAAACACACATATATTTTACAAAGACACAGAATGAGTAAATGAAGCCTCTTGGCAAAAGATGTTCAATAAATTATCTGAACACAGAGCAGAATATTTATTTGGCTCATTTTATTTCGCTCAGAGAATTACTCCCTCCAGTTTATCAAAGCATGACAGATTATGTAACTTTTGAATGTGTTTCTCTGTATGACACAATGAAAAACTGTCAAGTATCAACTTTGTAAAATGTCAAATTAGCTTAAAGTCGTAAAAAACATTTTGTAGAGCACCTTATAAAAACAGGGTTTACAAAATACTGAGAATAAAACTGAGATACCGAGGGTAAAAACAGTAAATAAGTAACAGTGAGGACATATAAAACAATAAAAACCACAGTAGGACCCCCCTGCCAAAGGCCGGGCTGTAAAATGATGTTTTACTAAGTGTTTTACAAGACGACACAGACTCAGCCAACCTGATTTCTTCAGGGAGGCTGTTCCATTGATGCTCACCCTCCTTTGCCTTTCAGTCTGGACTTTAAAACAACCAGAAGGGCTGCATTTGTGGACTCATTTCCTATCTGAATACACATATTTTCCTATTTGGAATTCACACATTTTTAATTTATATATTTTTTTATTTACTGTTGCTTTGCAAAACACACTGAGAGCCTCTGTACTGGAGCCAAATTCCTTGTGTGTTTAAACATACTGTACTTGGCCAGTAAACTGATTGTGATGTTTAACCGCTCATGTGATACCAAACCTGATGACAGTCGGTCAGACATGAAAGTGCGTAGCATTTACTTTTTAGAAAAACAAAGCTGACCTGACTGTTTGTAGAAATGATCTGATGAAACAACCCATTACTAAATGCGTTTCTGAGAACCTCTGAGAAATTCTTCAGTGGCTTTGTTGGTCAGTGGCAAACAACAACACTGACAGATAAAGGTGTCTTGTAATTAACGACAATTGTAAATTCACACTTTTCATTAAAATAAGACAAATTAGAGCATGAAATGAATGTAATGAAGTCTCATGTCTTTATTGAAAAGGCAATACATCAGTAGGAATGTTAGTGGAGCAGGCCGACAGCCTGGAGAGGGAGTTTTTGAAAGCTTAACATCTTGACGCCTGAGGCTGGTCTCACAAAGTCTTCAAAAAGCATACTGTCAAATATCACTCAAAGCCCTGCAGGTGCTTTTCTATCATTTGTATTACTGAGCAACAAAAACAGTGCTAAACACATCCAACCATTATCTATAACTGAACAGGGTTGCAGGAGCCAATCCTACCTAACATTGGGCAAGAGGTGGGGTCCACCCTGAACAGGTCGCCAGTCTATCATGGGGCTGACACATAAACAAACATCCACACACACTTACTCCTACAAGCAACTTAGAGTCGCCAACCAACCTAAGCTGCATTTCTTTGGACTGTGGGAGGAAGCCGGAGTACCCGGAGAGAACATACAAACACAGAAAGGCCCCGGGCTCAAACCTGGAACCTTCTTGCTGTGAGGCGACAGCACTAACCACCACACCACTGTGCTGCCAATGCTTAACTCATATTAAGCAAATAATCAGTATTTGTAGCATATTAGGTTTGAAAGTCCCCCTGATGATTTAGGTCACTTAAGGTTTAAAGAAACTTGTCCCTGATCTCAACCGTCTCCCAGAACCTAGTAGGAAGATACTAGTTCATGTTTGCTTCAGTCTGAGTACATTTAAGATAGTTTTATTGCTTGGGCACAGACTTTCCAATCACCGTCCCCATCTCATGTTGATACAGACAGATTTATTATTTGTGACCAAGTCTATACCTAATTGCACTGCAGCGGAAAGTCATTCAAGACCAAGCACAAGACACCGTGCCAGGAACATGTCAGCTTTTTGGAATGAGTGCTGCACCCAGATGCACATTTACTGGGACATAGAGTTCTTCCTTCTCCTTCTGCTTATGTGACTGATGTGTGCCAATTAAAAACAAACTGAGCATTTTCCTTAACCCATTTGTGGTTTGATGTAAATACACCTGTATTCTATATCAAGAACATCATGTACATGAATTTCCTATGTATGGTTCCACTTAAGGATGAGCTACTTGTTGCTGACAGTGGAAAATGTTTGGAAAGGCAAGTTAAATTTGAACCAGTTATTTGTGATATTAGCAGTCACATTGATGACTTGATAATTGATTGTGAAATCAGTGTTAAGTGCAGTGTGGAAAATCTAAAACCAAATTTTAAAAAAGCAATAAAGAAAGAATAATAAAAATAATCTTTTTTTCCCATTAAAGGGTTTTCCAGAGGTTGTCACATGCTGCACACAGTCAAATTTGCGATATTGGGCTATATAAATAAAACCTGACTTGACTTGACATACTGCCCTACATGATCTACACAGCTGAGAATATTTCACTGATACTGAATTAGGATCAACCACTTGAAACATAATCCCACTTACACAAGACTAGACACTAAACACCCCAGAAAAGAACACAAAGTTGAGACATGGTGCCTCTCCTTCTTTCTTGCAACATAACATGAATTTTTCTCAAGATGTACAAAACATGTGGCATGCGCATTTAAATGTACTGCCAGGACACCAAATTGAGCATCTTACATTATACGGTATGTATGTTTGCATTGTATGTTGTCATGCCATACATTCAGTAATGAAGTCTGTCAACTCTACATCTTTTAATCACAAATGTGCAAAGTGACTTCATTAATTTGGTGAGAAGCAGCACGCTTTGACTTCATGCTACTTGTTGAAACACACTAAAGGATGGATGTGAATATTAATTTAAGCAGGATATAAGGCTTATGAGCTATAAAGAGCAGGCTCTGAGTGTAATAACTACTTATGCAACATATTTCTGTGCTTCTAGTTTGATTGGCACAAAAGTTATTCTGATTTTCCACAGGCCACCCACAGGATGAGCGGACAGAATGCTTTACTTAAGATATCATTTGGAATATTACTCAATAAAACAGCATGTAAATGGCAAATCAGTGGTAATTAGTACAATGACTTAAACCAGACATCTGGTCTATTAAAGCCTGTTGTTGAATATGGAATTATTTTTAAAGTGAAATAACAGATAAGCAAAAATATGCTTTTTACATTTTGCCATAGTCATATCTTGGCAGTTGCTTAGATTTTTATGAAACCCAAGAGACCATAAACTGCTGTGAGGAGTGCTGCACATGAGCCAAACAGCAGATGAGCTGGGGCTGACCCAAATGTCTGAACATAACAGATCACACAGTGTCTCTGCAGCTTCAGGATAAACTAGCGGTTTTGTTGCTAACACCAAATTATTTTTCTGTGGCAAATGTATACCAATGCATTCATTGCTGTTAATTTTATAATAGGCCACCTGAAAATAAAATCACATACTGGTCCTAAAGTTCAAATTAATCACTCATTTCTTTTCAGATTATGCAGCTTACAATATGTTTTTTTTCTGTCTTTTATTTTAAGTTTCACACACTGCATTACATTTGAAGTACTCTCCTTTCTCCATAAAAAGGAAAAATATTGTTTTGTGCACACTAAACCCAGTTTATTTGGAGGTTTCCATAAGTGGACTGCAAGCCTCCTATTAAACATAAAGAAACATAAGTAGGCCTTGGCTGCAAAAGAGGACACAGAAATCTTAATAATTTAAAGACCTTGTTTTTGAAATACAACATGCAAATATAAAACTGAGTTTTGAGATTTCATATTTTAGACTCTATTCTGAACCTTTGTTGACTTCCCAAAAGCCTTACCAAGACATTAAAAAACTTACTCCATACCACTATTTTTGCACATGCCCTTTTCATATTTATATCAAAGAAAGCACTTTATTGGTCTTTGTTTGGAAAATAGGAAAAAAAAACTGCAGTTAGACATCATTCCAATGATGATATAAGCACAGAGAAGATCTACGTGAAATGTACAACAACTTTCAGGCAAAGAGATTAAAATAAAATAACAGCTAAAGTTCGAAAACGTCATTTTTTTCTATCTTTATCATGCTGAAATGTATAAATCATACCAGAGAGTTAGCAAAATCTCTTTGGTTTGACATTCACCTGTAGTAAAGGCATAGAGTTTAGAATCAAAGTGTTTTTATGGCAACCCTAATGGCTTGGATTTAAAAGATTTTATTGCTACTCTTACTCTGTCTTTAAAGTCATGCCAAAATGTTCATTTAGGCACTGTTTACATACTATACTGAACCAAAACACTTTTCAGACATTGCTCACTCTTATTACATATACATTCAAAGCAACATTAAATTGTTTATTAGAATAGTTTTATTTCTGTCAGTTATACTTATCACAGTATATTTAAAATCACTGACATTTTAAGTGTGTCATCTGTATTAAAACTGCTTTCAGTCTCTGGATTTGGTGTCTCTGCTTTTACAACATCGATATTGTCATCCATCCATGCTCAGTCTCCTGATGGCTGGTGAAAAAAGACGGAATACATGATAGTTAGCCAACTCACCTGGAATATATTATAAGTATAAATGTAAAACATATACTGTGTTGAAGTTTGGCATCTGAGCTTGGATCTCATTGCTTCCCACAAGGAAACATTAAGCACAGCAGGGAGCTGGGAGTGATGATTGTAACCTCGCCCCATTTGGGGATCAAATAGACTCAGAACCTTCAGGTGGATACTGGAGGGGAGGGTGGGCTCATAAAATGCTTTATGAACAGTAGTGGCATTAGCACGAAGAGTCAGCCTAGCTTTCAGGAGAGTGTTGTGGTGGCAAGCTTGTGAACAGCCTACAGGTAGCTTAAAGAAGTATTTTGAAACTATGCTGATGTGTTTTCTTGCCATGAGTTAGATTAAAAGACTGATATCATTCCCATGTTTGTACAGTAAATATGAAGACACTGGTAACAGTCTGGCTCTCTCCAAAGAGAGCAAAATCTGCCTACCGATATCCGTAAAACTTAATAATTAGCTTGTCCTGCTTGTTTAATCTGTAATAAAATTGAAATGGAAAAAAAGACACTGTCGTTTTAATGGGGGTTGTGTACAGAAATAATTGTTGTCCAAGGATTGTGCCTGGCCAAGAAATATTCAAGCACACAACCCCTGTAAAAATTTTTACACCTTATATTTTTTGCAGATTAAACAAACAAATAAATTAAACCATACATAAGTAGTTAGCTTCACAGATATTGGTTGGCAGATCTCAGACCAGCTGTTTTTCTCATTTTCTAGTCTTTGTGTTTTTGCTAGCTTTTGTTTTATTTTACTGCACAGCCATGAAAGTGGTGTCAGTTAAAAATAGCCTAAGCTTATTTACCAAAATGTACCAGTGGTATTTATGTACTAAAATACTGAGGTACAGCTGCCATGACAGAAGAGCTCCATTGGACGTATAACGTGGGGACAAAAGTGGATGCAGCAGCCATGTGGATGTAGCAGCTGACTCAAGTTGACGGTCTGAAGTAGCTCTCAGGCAGTGCTGCATTTACTGCATATGTAGGATTTTTTTTTAAATTTCTGATCTCATCTTTATTTATTAAATTTTTTTTACCTAAGTTCTTCGGCGAGAGGCACCTTGTCCTCCAATTCCTCCTATAAAGGCAGACAAAGCATTTAAGTCACACATTATTTATGAACAATTCTTTCCAATCATTGATATATATGAAATGATAAAACTTACTCTCAATCTGTCTTGCAAGTATTTCAGGGTCAATACCAGCATCTGCTTCAATTGTCTCGACTCCTGAAAGGTCAGTTCCTGATGGAAAACAACAATATCCTTAAAGTGACAATTTTATACAGAGATACATTTTACTGTGCTGTAAGTAATTTTGCCTTCAAGTATAATATGGTTATGTGCTGGTTGTTTTAGTCCTAATATACCAATCATAATATTCACATTGTTCCCAAACAGGTGTTTAAACAGCTGTATTTCATGAGAGTTGTTTGTTTTATCCACTGGCATTCATTATTTTATGTTTGTATATTCATTTCCTGCTTATATGATTGGGATTGCTTGTAGGACATTATTTAAACTAGTGAAGTTGAACTAGTAGAAGTTGGAAATATTTCCTTTTAAATCCAAAATCATTACACATTGGGAAGCAGGTCTGAAAAGATGGGTGGGCAAATTTTTTAATGGTTACACTAACTAGAATATTAAGCCCCAGTGCTTAAAATAACTCAGATTATCCTTAAGTTCTGTGGTACCATTGCTGACCGACCACCGAAAGTCTGGAAACATGAGGAATTATTAGAACTTACAGTGATAAATGATATAAAGCTACAGACACATTGACTGAAGTAAAAAAATATTTACCTGAGACAACCCTGGTGACTTGGGTTTGAGAGGTATCACCCCCAATGACTCTGGTCACCTTTCTGATGGTAGGCTCAGTCTCAATGACCCTTGTCACTCTGGTCACCTCAGGAGCTATGAAAGCAAAAAATACAGGTTTCACTACACTGAAATTTCAGCTAGTGCAGCGTTGCCCCTCACTGCAGAGAATTTTCCATTTGCATGCCGTTATCATAGCAAATGGACCTTTCACTGGATCTGAAAGGTTGTTACGAGAAAATGTGATTCATTATCAAGGAATTTCTAGCATTTTTTTTTTTTGGAGTACAACTTTTTGAATTGTATAAACGGTGATATTTTTGTGTCTTAGTGTTTATTAGTATTTTAAATATGAAAGCTATACTTTCAGTTCTGAGCTGCTTTTATTGCTGACAGCTGGCACATGAATTAGCTAGTGGCGCTTCTTGTCTTTTCCTGCATGTGTGTAAAATGATCCAAATTAATGAAACATTACTGATCAGTACATGTTTCAACCTATATCCACCCAATTTTATGCATACACCTGCTTTTGTTAACCAAATATAAACATGTCACATTTAACAGATTATGAATCACATCATGATGATACTCTAATCATCATTACTGTACCTTCCGGGATGAGACGAGTGATGGTCCTCTCTAATAACAGGAAATACAAAGCATTAATGCCTCTCAAGAAATTAAAAATACATCATTGACAAAACCCCCATAACATAAGAATACACATAAACAGAATAATTAAGTGACTCACTCATAAATGTAAGGGGAATTTCCTTATATATGACTCCTGGAATGTACTGTTGAAAAAAAAGGTTAAAAAAAGATTAGCTATAGAAGATATGCCCATTGATAGTATGACAATATGCCAAATACCAAAACACATAAGTAAATTGGCTATGTGCATGTTTATTAACAGCAAAGAAAGCCAACTGCTGAGCTCAGTCAGAACCTCCACACAGATGTTTTCAGGCAAGGACTTGTCTTGTACAAATTGTAGTTTGACAGAAAACTGTACCCTGCCCTTTAAAGCCATGCAGCTTTTACAATGAGAAGCCATTTTTTATAGGATACCTTGATTTGCGTGTAAGTGATGAGCCTCTTCAATAGCATGGAGAGATCTTGGCGTCCAACAGGTATATCTGTAAAAAAAAAAAAAAAGCTCAGGGTGTTAACCATAATCCAGAAAGTGTTAACGGTGCAGAGGGCAGTTCTTTACAGATTTACAATAAATGGGAGATGTTAACAAAACTGACTGGGTAAAAACTGTACCTCCAGGATACAAGATATTGTTGACAAAATGAACGACTCCATTTGTGGCCATGATGTCAGATTGATGTACTGGAACAGAATTCACTCTCATGGTGTTGTTTACCTGAGGGAAACAGTCAAAACAATTAAAGACAAGAAAACCACAAACTGAAGGACTTGAATAAACCTGTAATTTCAAATATGAGGATTAAACTTTGTTCTATAGTTACTAATGCTATTAGCTTCGCAAGTTTGAAAACCGAGGATGAGATTTTATCAGACAACAATGATTGGCACTATAAATTATTTGACTAATTAAATAATAATTAAAACACATTTTTACACCTTTGTACTTAGGATCACTAACTGTGTAAAGCTTGAATTGCTACAGGAATAAGGTTTACTGACTTCAAATAAAAGACATTCAGTCTTGCTGCACTAAAGACTTACAGATATCACTCTGAGGTTACTGCCCTGGAGAGACTTGAGAAGGTTTGTCACCCCAGACTCCAAACCACCACCAATGATGATGCCATAATTGATGTGATACAGAAGAATGGTTCTGAGAGCATTTTTGTCCGCTAAAATACAGCAAGCACATACATTATTAATGTTTTACTCTTCAGTTTTCAACTAGCCATATAAGAGCTGGAAACAGTAAAAGATAAAGGGAGTCTAGGAGACTTACACTTCAACAAGGCCAAATCACTATCGGTCAAACCAGCAAAGGCCTTATCGCTTGGGGCGAACATAGTAAAGTTTCCCTCCTGTTTCAGCAGGTCAGTCAAGTCAGCATCTTCCACCAGAGACAAAAAGATCCTGCAGCACAGAGATGAAAACAATAATTTAACTGTTGCAGAAACCACTGAGAGCTGACATACTGCAATGGCAGCACTTTCTTAATGGAAAGATACAAAAAGATGTGGTTTGAGTATTAGGCTGCAGTTTAAAACCACAGTCCATTTTCACTACTTACTTGAACCCTCCATTTTCTTTCAGTATGTCAAACATGTTTTTTTCCGCTGGTTTCACCAGAGTCCTCGTTAAATGAAGAGCCCCGTTGCTTCCTTCTTTACTGCCCCTTATCAGACAGGAATTTTCAATGCACACAGCCTGCAGAAATTATCCACAAAATAAAGACAAAGGGATTAATGTTATGTCTCAAAAATATGGCAGTTGATGGTCAAACAACATTTATAATGCATGGAGCAGTGTTGCAGTACTCGAGTCCGGGACTAAGACTCGACTCGGACTTGAGACCAGATTTTCAGGACTCGTGACTTGACTTGGACTTGAGCATTGACTGCATTCGGACTCAAAAGCTGGAGACAAGGACTCTGAATTTTTTTCTTTTTTGTAATAGGCCATAATAATTAGGCCTTAGATACTGATGTTAAAACCAGTTCACCCACACCATGCTGTATCCAGTAAAGCGTACACACCATCTTTCTATAAAAGATGTTTATGCATCAAATTCCTGAACAATATGGTGATATAATACACTGTTAGGACGTTTGGAATTAAAATGGTGAGAGCTGTGTCCATTGCATTTAATGTAAACCTTTATGACTCTGAATTGGATAACAAGGACTCAACTCAGACTCGAAATGGACTCGACCATGACTCAGATTCAACTAGGATTATTATTATTTGGTGACTCAGACACTGGTGACTCAAGACTCGACTTGGACTTGAGGTTTAGTGACTCAAATACAACACTGGCATGTAGTGCGTGTTTAGTAGCACCTAGCCACAATTTTTTAACTTTAGAGAAGAGGACTCACTGATCGATAGATGAAAACCCTCAATAGTTTTCCTCCAATTGTCTCCAGCTGCTGGCCATTGAACAGCTTTCCCAGGATATACTTATTCTTCAGGATATGATTCCGCAGGATGATCCTGAGCACACGCTCATCCGTGGCCATCACCTCATCTGTGCAAGAAAGAAATGGCTTTATATTTCTGATTAATGATTAAAAATTCTCCAACATTGCACTTTTACCTCTAATATACTTTAGCAAAAGAAACTGAGAGCAGCAAGTACAATACTAAGTCTGAGCTATTAGTGTCTTGATTTACTGCACAGTTTATTAGATGGGCCGTGTACTGTGTAGTATCTCTATTACTGAATTTTACATAGAAAGATTTGATATTAATGTATCAAATCTTAAATCCCTTTAAAGTCATCTGTTGCTCTCATGTGCATCCCTTACACCCATTTAAAACCATATGGCTCCAAAGATAAAAGTATTCTGCAATTAACTGCACATTCTTGTTACAGAAACAAAACATTCCCTCTGTGGGTAAAATCTAGGAATGTTCTTTGGGGGAGTTTTACATGCTATGGAGGTTCTGCAGTGTCCCAAAAGATAATTTACCTGAAGCTCAATATATGTATAAATCTATTCACTTGAATAAATGAAAAATATTCCCCTGTATTAGAAAGTGACAAAGTGTGGATCAACAGGTTTCATATTTAGCCACCTGCCAAATGGAAAACAGAAGAAGGTGCTTGGTGTACTGAGCAATACTGTATATGACTCACCATTGAAGGCAGTGTTGACGGGTGCCAGCAAAGTGTACTCAGCATCTTTTTTCATGGCTGCAGAGACGCCCAGCTCAGACACCAAATCAGCAAAGGTTGACTGAGAGTCTCCCAGCAGTTCCATCACCTGTTTAGCTTGAGGGGCACAGGAAATTCCAACAGCATTAAAGTGCATTAAAGGAAAAGTTCAAACACCCAACACACTTATTTATATAGAAAATCATGAATTCTTAAATAAGAGGAAAAGAGGAGACTCTAACCTGAATCTGGCACAAGCACTTTGTCAATAAGGTGGATGACACCATTGGCGGTGAAAATGTCCTTCTTGCGCACCATTTTGATGCCATTGACTGTTAAACTTTCACCATCACAACCAATCTCAATGTTGTTGCCCTCCAGGGTTTCATAAGAGCTGCCAGTCATAATGGCCTCAGAGCACTGCACTGAATCCAGGAGGTGGAAATTCAGAAGAGCTGAAAAAAGAGACAAAATGTTATAATATGGTGTGGTTTACTGCAGGTGTAGATGTTTATATGTATGCCAAGCAGGTCATAAGCATAACATAAACCAGTCCATGCAGCCATGGACTCTTTTTGTTGTGAGCATATAATGCTCTGGGAACCTGAAGACCCTTTGGATCCCTTGGGTCCTTGAGTGAGAAGACTTGCGATTTCTTCACAGCTCTGTTTAACTTTGTGTGAATTGGTCTGACTTCACATCACAGGGCAAGCTGTGGGCTCATAAAAAGCTTTGGCTTATTGCCAGTTTAACCAGCTTGCCCAGTGAAGCAGCTGTGTCTTGCCTCTGGAAAACAAGCAAATGCTAAAAATGTAGAGATTCTTCACTTCTTTGCTGTTATATTTGTGATTTTTGAAGTGACTAAACAGTATATTATAATATTGGCTGTCTGTGGTTGTTTGTTGTTGCTTCCTGTGGTTTGCTAGTCTTTGATTTATAAATGAAGAGTAACACTTCTAATTTTGTTGTATTCTGTACAATGACAACCAAACCTTTCTGTTCTCTATTCAATTCTTTTCTGTTCTATAAGACATTAACTTACACTGATTGACAGTTATATTGGCACAGTTCTTGCAACTGTAGCTAGATTACTGTTGATCCTGACCAACATACTGTACACAATACAACTCTAAAAATGAGCATTACAAAAATGTCACATGATGTGTTGCTTTGTTTGACTTTCCATCCACAAATTCATGCATTACTTGAAACTGGACACTTATTTTTATTAGTCACTGACACAATTTTGTTATATACAGCTTGCCAAATGTGTGCACGTTCCAGATCCATTGTGGCTTCATCTGTTTTGAATTGAAAGAAGTTGGGTGAAAAAAAATCCCTTTTACATAGTCTAGCAAAGACTCCACCAGGAAACCACTGCATTTCTTTTACTATACCTTCATTATTAAATATAAATAAAGTCCTTGCCAGAAATATAAACTCGCACTCTCTGGTGCAATGTTTTAAACGATGTCAAGTGATGTTTGGGCACTGAGGAACAGTGACCAACCTCTAAGAGTAAAAGGCTGGTTTACCTTTGAGGACCTCTTTGTCGCGCTTAATTCTCTGCAATGCATCACTGCCCAGACTCTCAAAGGCTTCGTTGGTGGGGGCAAAGAGAGTGTAATGTCCTTTCTCACCCAACTTCTCCAACAGTCCAGTATTTTCAGCAAGATCCTAGAAGGTCATTTCATCAACAGGGTTATGTTTAGTTAACCTCAATAGACAGTGGAGTACAGTATAAACAGTTGCAAGAGGTAATCATAATAATCATCTGAAAATTAATTTAGAAGTAACTAAATCACAAATTAAAACTCTGCATGTGTTCCTCAATTCCTTATACATGCCTGCAATTGTTGTTTCAGCCTGCGGTCATAACAGGTGTTAATATGGATGAAAAAATAGTATTTTGGGGCATTGTGCTATCCCTCAAATTAATTCTTTTGTCTGCCCAGACTGCACTCACCAACAGAGTTGACAGGTCGTCATTAGTATCAAGGACTTCCTTGATGGTGTGTCCAACAGGTCTGATGACATTGTCAATGACATGCACAACTCCATTGGTGGCAACCTGGTTACCATAGATAATCCTGGCACAGTTCACAGTCACCACCTGCACAAAACATACACTTCAATGTTATACCTCTGAAAAGTGTTTTTAGTATAAGGGGACTTGCTATAACAACAGTGAATGATAACACTCACCCCATTGGGGTAATGGTTAATATAGAGATCCAGGTCATGGTACATGGAGGTGATCACCATTCCATTCTTTAAATCTTTGGTCATGAGGCGTTTGTTGGCCATGTGATAATGCAGAGCATTGTACAGTTCAATGTTGACATTGCTGAGCAATGCACTCCTCACATCCTGTTAGAGGAGGAAAATGGGATGTTAAAACCTCACACACAAAGAGATTCTGCGGCCTTTTCTTTTGTTCTTGACGCACCTGAGGCAAATCCTCCCAGGCCTCATTGCTGGGGGCAAAGAAGGTGAAGGATCCAGGTCCCTCAATTTGGGACCTCAGCTTAGAACTATCAGAGTATCCTTGCGTTGAGGTGGCTTTTACCAGACCCAAGGTGCCATATACATGGTCAATTGGGGCCACTAAGAAAGAAATTTACAATAGTCATTATTACATATCAGCCTGTTTTTCTGAAAATAGAAATAAAAAAATCTTTGAAATGCAAGAGGATTTAAAAATACAGACTCTACATGTGTCGACAATACATTATGGCTTCCTGTTTTAGTTTATTTGGTCTGATTTCAAATATAGCACACAGCTGCTCTACAGATGGAGGATATGACCTCATCCAAACTTTACACACTGACTGCAGTACACTGTAGCACCTAACACACTGTACCTGCAGGGCAACCAGGCATGCCCTCCATCTTCATGTACCCTGGACAGCACTCATAAATCACAGTCCTGCAGGCAAAACACACAGATCACAAATGTACTATAGGCAGCACCTCAGTGAAATAATGTTTGCAAGAATCTTTTAACATCATTGTTTAGGAAAAACAAGTAGGATGCCATGTTGTAAGCTGAATCATCATTCAGCATTGATCTTATGTAGCCAGTGTTTTCCAGATGTGACTATTTATCTTCTTCATTACTCAAACAGCTCATGTGATCCATCATCTTAGGCCAAAAGCTAATGAAAAGGGTGACCTGAAAATTAAGCTACCATTACAGTAGCAGACTTATATTACCAAGACCACCTCTTTGAAGCGAAATAATTAGTCTGGACTCTATGTGGCATTTGGTTAACCTCGGAATCAGAGTTTGGCCTTGAAAAACTGCAGCATAAAGAGAGATGTGTTTTAGGAAATTTTGGTTAACACTAGGAACATTTAAGGGTTGTGATAGCCTGTATGGAAACTATTAAACTACTCTGAAAAACATTATTCAGCTGCCACCAGTATTTTTTTTACTGTGTTTTTAACAGACTTTTGCAATCTAGAGAATAATCATAGCAGTTCCTGTTAGGATAACTCTGATACAAATGAGAACTGCTTATTTGATGGACAGACATGTGAAGCTGTCTCTCTTTTCCACTTAAAAAGTGGAGAGCCTGAGGATGACAGTAAAATTCAAAGTGCAGCTGCTATAAACAGGCCTATACGCTTTGCGCTGGCAGGTTTGAACATGTTGAAACTACTGTATTGTTTCAGGCTCTAGAAAAAACTGGCATTTAGGGATATATATTTCACATAAACAGTTATGCAACACACACACACACACACACATATACATATTAGTATGTATTAGAATAAAAATCCATTTGGACCTGGATTTCATTAACATAAATATAATTATTGTTCAGATCTACAGGTAATGAAAATGGCAAAAATGCAACAGAAATGAGAACAATCTTTGGTGTATAGCTAGTAATCATTAGCAACGAGTGACTAAACTATAAGATCCTGTGTCAAGAGATCATACTTTAAGTACAATTCACTTTATTGCGAGGGATTATTCATAGTTTTTATCCACTGCTGATATCTCAGCCAGGATAAAGACCAAGGCTTCTGGGTCATAGCTAACTTCAACTCTTTAACAGCTGTATTTCAATTAAAGCTGAATAGAGCTGGAGGACCTGAAATGAAATTACAGAACTCCCATTGGGCTACAGTCAGCAAAATCCTCGCTACATTGCTCTTACACACCATGGGATTGTGTCTGGCCATGGAACTGGGAACGTCTGACTTGTCAGCATCTCTGTGAAAGAACTGTTCCACTAAGAATCACAATAACTTTGTTTGACATCATATATGCCCTGACTTTATTCCAATTCAACCCCATCCCTAATAGGCAGTTTGTGAGCTTGACTGCACAAAGTTTTCTTAGAGTTGTTCTGAAGCAGAAATGTTCTCTTTTTTTTAATTAAACCTCAGTAGGTTTAATTATACACTTCCAGTTCAATTTAGAATTATAGCTAAGATAGGCTTAAAGAACTGTGGGACAGAGACACTAATGCACATCATAAACAGTACAGGCAAAATTTAAATCAGCTCCACTGAAAGTCATGCTGGCTGAAACAGTGATAATTAAACACAGAACATTTTGTTGTTATGCTTTAATGGCTGGGAAACATCTGAGGAGTTTGCAGAAAACAGGGTGGGAAGAACGATGGGAGGATCATAGGTTTGGCTGAGGAAGTTAATAGAATTTCTGTCACAATAACTAATGTATTTAGTGCGCAACACATGATATGGTTATGGTGTATGTGCACATCTTTATGTATCATTTCACACATGTGCCACATTAAATGTTACCTGCAGTAAGTTCAATTAAGTTAAACTGCCCTTTAATTGCCCTTTAGCCCAGATATGGTTTGATTGATTCTACAATTGATAGATAACATTCTTTTGCTGTTTCCAGGATTATCATTTGCCAAGTTCAGTGAGCAGTGGGTATTCATTATACAACAGCATGACACAGGTATGCTTCATACATAGAGGGCAAACTGTGAATGTGGGTGTGACTGGTATTACTCACACTGTGGACAAATAAACTTGTTTGTACACACAAACTTTTGAGACTCACCTTCTGCCTAGACATGAAATGCTGCTCCTCACCATATAAATCATTGAATTTTAGTGCAACAACTTGGTTAAAGGTTAGGGCAAGGTGAGGGTTAGGTTAAAAGGTTGGGGTTAGGGTCAGAAATAGGATTAGGAAAGTAGCAGTGGTTATAGTCAAGATTAGGGTAAGCCAATGTAATGTCCCCTGAAGTTATGGAAACACAAACTGTGTGTGTGTGTGTGTGTGAGGGAGAGAGAGAAAGAGGGAGAGAGACAGTAAAATAGGTATGGCCTCAATCCATGTTTAAACCCAAAAGTGCTGAGAAAGTTGGAACAACAACAGACAAAGAGGATGTCTGGAATGATTGAACAGAATGTTTTTCCATTCATGAGTACAGTCAACATTTTTCAGCCACATCATATCCTGGAATCAGTGGTTCACCACTATGGCATCCAACAGCCAGGCTTTTCAACTTATGGAAACCCTAACTTGCAGTTTGTAGAATCGAATGGGACACTCTTCAGCGCAAAGAGTTTAGGGCTGTGTGCATAAATATGTTTTTCATTTTAAGCAGTAGTTTGATTCCTAGTTAGATAACAGATGTCTGCCTCTATGGAAGCATCCAAGTTAAAAAAAACAACTCATAGATGAAGCAGTAGAAGAACTGGAGGCAGACACTGAAAACTTTGTCAGTTGATTTTGTTGTAATGTGAGTCTTTAAAAAGGAGAATCAACGTGTCCTGATGGGAACATGAAACACTTACGCTTTCTTTCCACAGATGGACCCTTGGTACCAATTACGACAAGTGCTGAAGTACTTCTTCCTGGTACCCATGACTTGCTGGAGGGCGCACACATTGGGACTGATGAGAATTGACAAGAAAAAACATTAGTAGGATTCTGTGGAAACTCTTAAATTATTCACATGTAAATTATTATGTAACAAATGACCTGCTAGGAAACACATTGGACTGCCCATTATGAATAATTATTTGGCAACTAACCCTGCTGCTTCTGAGGCAAGGCAGTCCAATACTGTATGAATAATGGAATCTGTGTCTGCTGGATATAAAATTCGATTGTCAGATGTGAGTATGATTCAACTATAAACCCACCGGTCTACACCTTTTTTAAGTAGAATGTAATATTATTCAATAACATTTCATCAAATATGTTATAAATAAATAACTGTTAAGCAATTGTGACCACATAACAATTATGACATATCTCAAAAGACAGAAGACAAAATAAAAAATACTGCTTGTTATGCTCAAGGTTCAGTACTATTGCATGCAAATTGAAATAACATGACAACAGAAGGGTGTGAAAATAACACCCCAAAACAATCCAAATTAAAAAATATTGACAAGCTTACCCTTCTTTTCTTGCCCTGATGCGACTGTGGGCAACTATTTTGTCATAAGCTGAAGAATCAGCCTTGTCAAATGTAGCGAGCACAAAGAGTGCAAAGGCAGCTACAAAAAGTAGCTTCATCCCTGATTTCTTAGCTAACCCTTCCAGACCCAGAGTAACGGGAGCAGTCACAGGGTGGGAGTTTATATATAACTGGTCTCACCCCCCACTCCAGGAGGATGGCAACATGTTTCAACCATTCAGAACTGAACAAAAGCTACATTTTTATACACAAATACAAGGGGATTTATCATTTATTTATTTGTTTAGTGTATTCCTTTATATATATTTAATCATTTTTGGAGGGGCATTTTTAAAAAAGTGGAACCATCACCGCATTTACAAAATGTTTTGTAGTTGTTGCCAGTCTTCTTTTATTCTGGTTTGAAGGTGCACAGATTCTGATGCATTTCTGACAAATAATGTTTACTAATGTTCCAGCTCAGAGCATAACAGAATGGCAATGTTACTTGCTTAAGAATTCACAAAAAAAAAAACAGTAATTACATTGCAACAAAAACAAGTACATTTATAAAACATTCAAGATTTTAAGTCTCAGCGTTTTAATGAAACTGCCTAAGTGAGCTCAATATATTGCTCAGTGCACTGATACAGAATTGCTCAACATGGTTTTTAGAGCCATTGAGACTGAGCACCACATCAGATATTTAAAGTGAGCAGATGGGACACTTGGGATGTAGCTGTATAATGTCTGAAAAAAGTTATTTATTTGGACCACAAACAAAGAAACACGGCATAATCCCTGTTCTGCACAAACACTACAGCACTAATCGTTTTAACTTTTCACAGTCTTTTGCTCCACCTAGTGGTGGGAGGGAGTGAAGGCAGTGAATCCCACAGTTTTGCTGTTGTATATGGATAATAATTTAATGATAAACAGTGAGGTGAATCATTAACAAAATGACACAAAACGGGAAAAGAGAAAAGCACACTAAATCAGCAAGGATATTGAACCTACTTTTATCACACCAGTCTGTTACTGTTCTGTACCTTATCCATATATCAAGCAGCACAAGAACTACATTTATGTTAACAGTAGTTTCAGTTTCTTGGATACAAGAGCTGAGAAATAATTGTCCTTAAAATAGTTAAATAAATAAATAAATTATTAATAACAATAAGTATTGGTTGATAATAATACGACACTACATTATTTAGTTTATGCCAATCAAGCATTTTAAACGTATAGCTGTTGTTACATCCCTGACCTTTTAATCCCATACATTGCAGCCTGTTCCCTGAGGTCCACAAATGTGTCACTTCTGGCTGTTCCAAAGTCTACAGGAAAAAACAGGAGAACATAAATTTACAGTTAGAGTTCCCAGACTGTGAAACAACCTCCCTGAAGAAATCAGGTTGCCTGAGTCTGTCTCGTCCTTTAAAATGCTTCCTATATCACATTTTTACAAACTGGCCTTCCTGTGATCTTTTATCATGCTTTTAAAAAAAAAGTCTTTATTTTTAACTATGTTTTATTTCTTATTTCACAGTTCTGCTTTATTTTTTGTAAAGCACTATGTAAACCCTGTTTTAGGAAGATGCTCTATTATTATTATTAAGCTTTACCGATGAATGTTGTTACTCAGCACATTCCCATGTGGCATCACTTTTACCATTTCCATTCTACCACATGTTGTTCACCCTCTAAGCTAGCCAGATGTTCCAAATGTGAGCAGGAAAGTAATGTCTTCCTTGCCAGATGAGTCACCATTGTGAAAAGGGGGAAAACACACAACCCAGCAACCAATACTGCAGCATCGCCCTGGTACTGAAAACCAGCCGCTTTACTTAGGATAGTGAATTACAGTAAATGTTTATTCTTTGCCAGGCTGATGATAAAAAGTTTAAAATAACAAAAACGTAATAATTTAGCATATCACCTTGTATACACTGAAAAGGCACCAAACTGCTTATGAACTTCATTAATCGAGGTCTTTAGAAGTGTGTGCTTATGCGTAAAATCTACATGAATCTTTCCCGGACTTTTCATCTCTTCTAACGTCCTAAAGACTGGAATACATTAATTTACAATGCCATCATTCCAGTATGTAGTGATTTTTCAAAAGATTGTACAGTCCTTGCAGAGCTGAGGAAATAATAGCAGCAATGAACTCACTACAGTGATAATTAAATGCAGCGTAACTTTTACACATTGAATCAGAACCGTCTCTGTCTGAATCAGTCACTTTCACACACACTGACACACAGGCACAAACACTGCATGTGTCACAAAGAATGGATTAAGTCTTAACCTGAAGTGCCTTAGCTTCTGTTTGTATCTTGATAGTAAGCTCCTTTAAAGTGAAAGAGAAAAATTTAAATTGAGTTCTTTAGATGTAGTACAAAGACCATAACAGTGTGTTGATTGGCTTTCTAAAGATAGTGCAATTTGTTCTTGGCTACTATGGTAATAGAAACCAAAAGACTTCATTTGACACCACAGGTGTCAAACTATGAAGGTGTACAATACAGAATATGAATGACTACATTTCAACAGCATAATACTAATAAACTTGAGCTACTAATTTTATTTAATAAGATGCTTAAAGTAGTCATACAGTAATTACTGTACCTAAAAAAAGTAATTGATGGTGTCAGTTTAAGTGCAGCTGAAAGGTAGGCCTGCATGTTTAGCACCAGGTTTCTAAGTATACTTTTTAGTCTATACTGAGATCCTACTGTTTACATTTGCATCTCTATTTTACCCACAACACTGCACTAGTCTTACACATCACTAGAGGGTGTGTGATGCTATATAACTAGGTAAACTGACACAAGATCTTCAAATGAAACAGCTTATTTATAGTTAGTACAGTGGAAAAAAACTAAAAGGCAGAGACCATTTATAGCTGACTGGACAGGTAGGCTATGAGTAGTGCCAAATCTGTGTTTATTCTGCAAATAAGAGAGCGCTTCTCCTCTGCAGGTCATAGAATACTGTGCAAGAGAAAAACCTCTCCAAGAAGATGTGCGCTGGTGCACTGTGTTAAGGGTGTCATTGTAAACACAGAAAGCAAAAAGGTAATAAAATATTTACTGAAATAAACAAAAAAATATTTCAGTTGTAAAGTAAATGAAGAGAAAAATAATTCAATTGAAAGTGTCCATTTCCTTACCTACTGTCCCACTAACTCTTCCTTAATGTCATTCTCTGTTGTCACCATGCAGTATTTTGATATGAGAGAAATGGAAAAATGTGAGAGGGGTAAAGAGGAAACACCTTTTAAATTAGCATTCACTTTTATTTAATCACAGAGTAAGTTCGATACATGACACATTGCTAAATTGCACATTGCAGAAGAGCCCTTATACACCTTTAAGTTTGCAAGGTACTGTAGCTGACATAGAGGAAGAAGACTTGAGGGAATTGAAGACTACATCCTGAAACATATTTCATCTCTCTTCTGTTACAGCAGCAAACTTAGGAGTAAAACATTCCCTCTCACCCTAGAGGTGAAACTGTTCCTAAACTCTGAATTAGCTAGACAGTAAATGGTAAATGAGCTCACACACTAAATAAAGTGAACTTGATATTATTGTGTTAAGTTTCTTATTTCTTGGTATATTACTTATAGCAAAAAGAACTGGATGCTTTCAGCATATGAGTAATAGTTTTTCTACAAAGATTTAAGATACAGTATTTTCGCATATCACAATAAGAGGAGAGTTTAAGGTGGAAGGGTAGAGGATGAATTATTGGTTCAAGGTAAAACATGAATTACAAATTTGTTACACAATTGCTTGAGTGTCAGTTGAATACTCATTGAGGTCAATTCTCATTTACTTTTGTATTCTTTATCAGTTAGAGGCGAAAGGATGTAATATGTGAAAAAACATAACATTATTGTACCATCGTGTGTGTCAGCAGTGAAGATTGTTTAAACTCAGTCTATACAACTTCAATATTGTTTACCATAAGAGTCAGTATATTTCAATCAACTAGTTTAAAACTGGTAGCTAAGAGAATTCAAGTAAAAAAACAAAAAGTAGCTCTCCGTCCTTCATTTGCCGATTAATTTTTATAGTTTTTGGGCCCATTTACAGCTTCCTGGGTGACTTCTCCACAAGAAGATTCAATCTCCTCAATGTCCTTTTCCACTTGCTGTAAAACTTCCACAATTACTTTCTCAGTCTCAATATTTTCTTGGTTTTGTCCACCACATCCCGACATATCTTCCTCTGATGTTTCATCACATTTCTGAGAGGAGCGTCTGCTCTCTGTCTGGAGGGGCCCAGCATTTGAGACATCCTCGGACAGCTCATTCTGGAGGGGCCCAGCATTTGATACATCCTCGGACAGCTCATTCTGGAGGGGCTCAGCATTTGAGACATCCTCGGACAGCTCATTCTGAATCTTTTCTGAACTGGATGGAACGACCGAACCATTGGCTAGCCTGTTAGAGTGAACAGAGCTGGTGGTGTTGGCAGCGCCACTCTGCAGGGCACTGGTGACCACATCAAACATGCTCAGCGTCTGTTGAGGCTCATCGATAGGAAATTTGGGAGAATATTTGAAAGAGTTACCCGGATAAGCCATGGTGGAGCTTGCAACTGTTCCTGCTACCCCACTATGAGATTTACCCCTCATCATTCCCAGGACTTCATAGCGAAAGCTGGAGATATCCTGCTTAAGCTCCTATTAATTATTGAGAACCAGTGATTAAACAACAGCACAGAAGATTATAAAACATTGGTAAGTGAGGTTCCAGTGTTGAATACTGTAAGTGTGTGTTACCTTGAAATTCTCTTCTGTCAACCCTTCCTCTGTCTTGGCATCTCTGATCATTGCAGCCACATAACGCTTCACAAGGCTCCTCAAAACCTCCTAAAAAGAAATTTGTTTTAGGTAAAACTGCAGATTTTTTTTTAATGAAGCATCAAAAATTACATAAATACATTTAATTTATTATAAATTGGACAAATCAAAAACATAACATTGTAATATTACAGTATATTATGGAAAACAAATTACTACCTGATACTTGTAGTTCAATCTTACATTGTCGGCTGCACGTCTCTACAATTAAAGAAAAATAAAGGCTCATTAACAAAATAACCCATTATTTCTGTTTGTAATTGTAATGCACTTCTTAACTTTCCCTTTCTCAATAGGATGCATTGCAATATACATTAGCGCCTAAACAATTGCTGATGAGAACAAGAAATCTAATTTGCCGCTAATTCTTTGGGAGCCACACACTTTGAGGCTACAATACCAGACTGGCACTGAAAATGTACGCAATTCAATGCTGACAATATACATCAGATGAAATTTCTGGAAATTTCTTACCCCTAAGGTTTCAAAGGTTTCAAGCCTTTTTACGCTTGGTCTCCTACACAGATGTGTCTTTATCAATTCAATTAGATAATAAATTGACTTTGGACTGGGAATTATATTGAATGGAGATGGCAAAGTCCCCCCTTCTTCAAAATAGCTCATCCACAACTTTGTTCTTGCAAATTTCCACTCTATATCTGCATGATCCTGAAGAACACAAAACACAATTAATCAAAACCGTTTGCAAAGGAAGACAAATTACTGCAGTAAAACTATAAAATAAGTAGACTACACGACTCACAGCAATATGCTGATAGGAGTTATTCATCATTGCAATTAGCATGTTCAGAAGCACAACCAGGGAGATCACATTATATGTGCCAAACATGGTAGCGCCCACATACTCAGTGAATTCATGTTTTGCATTCACAGTGGTCACCGAGAGTGAAATCAGACCAAATATAGACCAAAATAATGACTGCAGTGTCTCGAACAACCTGAAAAACAAACAACCATACATCACATTATACACTGCTAAAAAAACAAACATTTTAGTTATTAGCAATGCAGATTTCTCAGGGACAATTTATTTAAGAACTTCAACTTGCGTTGAGAAGGCGTTGTTTTGAGGACTACAGCGAATACCCTTGCAACCCTTCTCATGTGTTTCATAATAAAAGTAGAGCTGGTTGAGGCCATTGGCAAAGGCTAGCAGTACTAGACAATAGATGAAGAGAAACTTGAGGATGTCCAAGAGCATGCGACCCAGTGAGATCTGTAAGGGGCCCAGATGGGAATTGGCAGTGAAAAGGCAGATGAGACGCAAGGAGCTGAAGATGTTGGCGATGGCAAACAGTGCCTCTGCCATCAAAGTCGGGTGCCACTTTTCCCAGTTCTCTCTCTTTTTACACCCACGGTACTGTGGAAATAAAATAAGAATGACAATGAAAAACTGATGCTGCTTCAAGATTTCCAGAATGCAAATGTTATACTGAGAAACACAGTGATGCTACGTTTGACTGAAGCATAGTTAAAAGATTGGGTCAATAAAGCAGTTTCTTAATTAAACACAAGTGCAGCAATTTTTGACAAATTGTGTAGATAAGAATATCTTTGATTCCATGGCTGTCATAGGCTTTGCACCCTAAGCTATATAATACCTTCACATAGGCAACAATCTTCAGAGAAATGGTTGCAAGGTACAAAGCGTTCATTATGAAGTCCATGAAGTTCCACCAGTCATCTATGTAGTCTTGAAAACCACTGTCCCACATCTGCTTGATCTCAGACCATATATAGCCTTGAAAATATAAACAACAAAGGTCAACAGAGGTCATCAAACAGCTAGCATGTAGATAGTTGCAATCACATAGTTACGGTTTGACTTTACCCAGACGTGTGGGACTACAGAGTAAAGGTGTACAAGAGTGCATAATAACATAATGGTGAACAGCAGTCTGATAATGTATGTTTATTGTTACCAAGCACCCAGGGCAGGATTATCCATTCCACAGTGGTGGGTGCTGGGCCTTGTACGTTGGGACCTCTAGTAGCTATATGCTGTGAGGCCAAGAAGAGCAGGAAGAGGAAGGTCAGGTAGGACGCAGTGTGACAGATGAACTTGATGAAGGGCTTACGGATGAACATGCCATAGCGGCTCTTTGGAGAGATCAGGTAGAAGACACATAGCAGTGGAAAGACAAGGCCAATGAAGAAGGATGTAATGAGTTTTGCCACCCAGTGACGCCTCCTCCAGCCTGGGAACTCATCATACCAACGAGATGCCAGCAGCTGCTGACAGTTGGGCTGAGCAACAAACTGAGAGAACAGGAGAGACAAAGAGAGATTAAAGATGTTCATCAAAATTAAACTCTTGACTTTTGTCTTCAAAATCCATTCAGAAAATGACATTTGTCAGTATCTCAGAAATTTCACCATCATCATGTGCACTGCACTACATAGTATCACCCAAATACACTGGCATATGCCTAATAGATACTGGGAATTTATACAGGGAGCATCTGAGCACACATTTGCCTGGATCAGAAAATCTCTCCCTTATACACATCTAACATATACATTGTTTTTCCCTGCAAACTCAAACTCTCCCAGGCATGATGGTAAAATAAACTGCCAAGCCGCCTACTGCAGCAACAGGAACATTCAGGGATGACGCTTCATTATTCTTTACCCTATTGTACAGAATGTTTTACAGAAATACCAGGCATGTTTAACAACAGTTTCCAATGGACAAACACTACAGATGTGTTCTCTAATCTCCAGTTATAAAGTCCCTACCAAATCTGTTTCCCATACACAATGTCTCTGCTTTGTGAGACTTGATATAATCATCTACTGGACATCTGTGGATGTTGATGGAAGTTAATTTCAGTTTAATCAAATTATGTCCAAATGGACCGCCATTATGGTACTATATAGCTTTAAATTGTTGGTGATGAAGTAATCTATCACTGCAGAATCTGACATCTTTAAAGATCCTATCTGTCTTTGTGTGACAGCAATTTGCCATAACATGACTGGAGGCAAAAGATGGCATTTGGCAGGACCTGATTTTGTCTGAGGACATTTTTGGGAGGTGAAGATTTTTCTTGCCAAATGTCACACTACTCTCCACTTCACAAACAAGTATCGACTCCATCCTAGAGCAGATTCATAGTGATGACATACAGTACAATACTAATGCACTAATAACATTTGAGCCATTTATTTGAATATAATTAAACTGATTCCACAGCAATTACCTGAATGCCACTGTATGGTGTTAGATAGGTGTTTTTAAGACAATACTAGACTATGTTTTTGTTTGGTTTGTTTACAGTATCATTCAGAATGTAGTGAATGGCTTTGATTACTTTTTTTTTTCCCAGAAAATTAGGGGTATGCCCCACAGAACAATCCTTTAGATTTTGGTGCTTTTAAGATTCTTTGCTATTGTGAGATAAGGTAAGATTTGTAGCTTAATTTAAACCCAAATGCAACCAAGCAAAAAGTTCATACATTTCCTGAAGTGGTGGCAGCTAGGCAGATAGGTACAGATGACATTCAGAACAAGTAAATGAAGGCGTCCTTGGCTCAACCATTCAAGCTGAATTGGTGGTAAAAAAAAAAAAAAGCAGCTCACACAAAAATGCAGCTACAACAAATTGTAACAAAAGCAAGATAAACTGGATTAAAAAAAAAAAAAAAAAAAAAGCAGAAACAAAAAAAGGGTGCACGTAAAAC